AAAAAAAAAAAAAAATTGAAAAAAAAATTTTGTATATCTGCTTTGTAAAAAGGTATTTTGTTGTACCTATACTATGTTTCTAATTAAGAAACAGAAGAAAATGGGAGCTGGATGTGGTAGCACATGCCTATAATTCCAGATAACTGAGGAAGCTGAGGCAGGATTGCAACTTCTAAGCCAAGACTGTCTCAAATTAAAAAAATTAAAAGGGGCTAGGGATGTGGCTCAAGCGGTAGCGTGCTTGCCTGGCATGCGTGCAGCCCGGGTTCGATCCTCAGCACCACGTACAAACAAAGATGTTGTGTCAGCCGAAAACTAAAAAATAAATATTAAGATTCTCCCTCTCTCTCCTCTCTTAAAAATAAATAAATAATAAAAAATAAAAAGGGCTGGGGATACGGCTCAGTGGTAGAAAGCTTGCCTAGCACAAGTGAAACTCTGGGTTCAATCCCCAGTACTGACAAAAAGAAAAAAGAGAAAAAAAAAAAGAATGTCCTCTTGTACACCTAGCCACATAATTTGTACTTTATCCAGTGTTTGTGAGTATGTGGGTAATTGGAAGAGGATGAAAGTAATCATGTAATGTACTATGCATTGGGATAAGACACAACAGCCTGCTCCAACCACAGAGTTCTAACTATTAAGGTCACATTTCAGTTTTAGAAAATAAAGCTGTATGCTTCAAGATCCCACTTCCAAGATATGAATCATCTTTCCACTCCTGACAGGTACCTTGGGTGGTCTAGCCAGACATGGCTCATAGAATTAGATTCCAGAGTTGACTTAGCTGTCATTCACTTAACTTTTTAGATTTCTCAAGGTTCTCCTGATTTGAAGAGGGAGAAGTGGGCCTCAGAAGTTAGGTGAGAGTGCTCTGTGAAATCCTCCTCAGAAACCCTTTAGTTATGTCATATTTTTTAATATTGCAATAGTCCTGTGTAGCAAGATTATAATTTGAAAATCTTGCAGCAAGATATGGAATTATAGTCTATTTTTTACATGTATATAAACAGCCAAACCATTGGTGATATAATCCATGCTCTATTTATCTTCACAATCTCAACAACAAACAAGACAAGCCTAAAGTAAAAACATCTTTTTCTTTTTTTGCAGTACTGGAGTGGGAATTCAACCCAGGGGTATTTTAACACTAACCTATATTACCAGATCTTTTTATTTTGAGAGAGTCTCACTAAGTTGTCTGGGCTGACCTCAAACTTTCAATTGCTACCTTAGCCTTCAGAGAAGCTGGGATAACAAGCATGATTCACTGTGCATGGGTGTTTTCTTTTTGGTGCTAGGATTAAACCCATAGTCTCCAACATGCTAAGCATGTATTCTAATACTGATTTATACTCCCAGGCCCTGAAACTTTGTTACATTTCTTCCATTAATCAGAGAAGAAATCATCTAAAGATTCTATATTACCTTTTCTTCCTTCACATTCAACTCCTTTGAATTCTTGTCACAAACCATCACCCAGCCTAAATTTCTTACCTCCCAGTACTTGGTACGGTTAATACCCTCTGCATATGCCCGGGCAAAGTTACTTTCACTATTGAGGGCAGTAATGGCCGCACTGAGTTGAGACATGGGGTGTAGGTTGGTGGGAAAGTTGTCCAGCATGGTGACCACATGAGAAGGCAGAGCTGCCCGCTTTGCCCACTCCTTTGAAAGCCAAGATACCTGTGGGAAAAGGATATATAGAAAATCCAAGAATGTTCAACACAGTCCACTTACATAGCATAACTCTGCTGACTTCTTCCCCTCACTACATATCTCCACAAACTACAACCCACAGTCCAATCAGTATTAAATGTCTAAGATACAGAAAGGCAAAGAAGAATGGGAATAAGGAAGGGCCAATTTCTTTCTGCTTTACCTGTTCCTCTGTTGGGATCTGTCCAGTTACCAGCAGCCAAAATAAGCCCTCAGGAAGGGGTTCTTCCCCACCCTTAGCCTTAGGCAGTAATTTCTGGCATTCAGGGATACTATGGCCTCTGAATCGGATGCCCTTGATGGAGAAGAGTGATAATTACAATTCAAGTTTTTCATCAATAAGTAAAATAACTGACCTGACCTATTCATATCAGACATTTAACAAGTTGGAATATAACTTTCAAAGCTTAAATTTTCATATATTATTATTGCTTTTGAACTTTTATTTTCTATTTTTATACATTAAAAGGTAAACTTATTCTTTAGTTATTCCATATTCTCTAACTTTTAAAATACGAAAACAGGTGTTCTGTGCTGTTTCCTCATTATCTAATCCACAGTTTGGTGGTTTAGTTTGCAAACTGGTCTGTATGGTCAGTAAATTCAATGATTATCAGTGATTGACAAGACAGTGTCTTACCTCATCGGGATCAAGAACTGACGTTTCATATACAAGTCCCTTCATGCCTCTCATGCCACCATACATCTAGAGAAAAGAGGATAATGACCAGTAGTCAGAATGATTCAGTCTAGAGCTTGTTCAAGTTTTATAGAACCTGGGAAACAAAATTTATTCTTTAACTTCTAAGGGGGAAAAAAATTTCTGGGGAGTTAACTTACTGAAGGATTTTTCAAAGACTGCTTATGTTGGAAACGAAAATTTTAAGCTAAGAAATTATTATCTTTCCTTAATGCTTCTGCTTCTACTGCTTCCTTTTTAAATTTTTTTTTTAAGTTGTAGACAACCCAACCCCTACTGCTTCCTTTTCTTACTGTATTTTTTCTCCTACCCCATTCTTAACCTCCCTTAGACCCTCAACTAAAGTAAAAAGAATGAGATGTATTATAGGGAAAGGGAAATCAGAACAATAGCTAAAGACTATGTAAAATTATTAGATGAGCTGCTCAAACTCTTAAGGCTAGGGAAGTCATCCTCCTAAAGCTCTTCTAGAGGACCTATTATGGTTTAACTAGATGGTTGGTACAGTATGAACTCAAAGACAGAGAGCATTCTAGTTCCAAAGGCTGAGGGATTGGAAACAGGACCAGAAACTGTATTCATCCCTCCCCTAGATGAATTAGTTAGGTTCAATTATTAAATATGTAGAAGAGAACAAGCTAACCTCTAGTGAACACCATAAGCCCAAACATTTCCTTATACAGCACAGAATACTTTTTAATAATCAGCAAAGAGAATGATAGTACTTTTGTTAAAGCACAAAACAGGCTACTTTTCCCAGCCAAGACCCGATAAGCCTTACCATGTCCACAGTAATTTGGCCCACCACTGTCTTGCCATGTTGCTGCCTGAATGCCTTAATTCTGGCCTGCTCCTTAGGTATCAGGTTGGCCAATATGTCTTTCAAATTCTACAAAGAGAAACAGAAGGGTTAAGGTCAATGTTTGAGACTTCCTGCAAAGTACATATGTGAAGACTACTTTTTAGTATTTGGCTTTATCTGCCAGGGATGTCTGGTCAACCACTCTGTACA